GTGCAATCACCTCCTGTAATTGCGTAATTGTTCCTGATGCCTAGTAGCTTTTCGATGGCGTGCATTCAAGAACAACTCACTCTCCCTTGTCTCCTCCCCACTGGTCCAAGGCACAGGTGCCTCCTGGTGGCCAACCAGCCTCTCTGCCCCCTGCTCGGAGTCGGAACCCTGTCCAGGGTCCTCCACATCCTCCAGAGCCGACTCATAGAGCCCCTCGCTGTCGGAGTCTGGCGGCAGCTCCAACGGCTCCTGCTGGGCCACAACAGCTATCTATATTAAAATATTTCTTCCGGGCGTCAAAGCCAGCTCTTATTTTTCTTCTACGGAGGCAGGGAATGAGATGACACCCCTACAGGCAAATTCTGAAAGTGCCTCAGCCTCTCCTTCATCAAAGCAATATAGGAAGCATTTCAGGCTTTTGCTTAAACAAACCTCGTACGCATCTTTCATTGCAGCCAGTTTGTCTTCAAATTTCTCAAGGCTCCAGTATGTTGCAACACCCAGCCTGATGTTACGGACCTGCACTTGAAGGCCATTTTCTTGAGCCATGACATCGTGTCTGATAAAAGAACATAACAAACTTACTCCCAGAACGTAAAGGGACAAATCACCATCTGATACACCACCCCTTTTATAATGACAGTTGGTGGGGGCAGGAGGGAATTGCATTTTATAGATTGAGAAGATAACAAATTTATCTAGGTCAGTGTTTCTCAACCTTGGCGACTTTAAGTCCTGGGGACTTCAACTCCCAGAATTCCCCAGCCAGCTCTGCTGGCTGGGGGATTCTGGGAGTTGACGTCCCCAGGACTTAAAGTCGCCAAGGTTGAGAAACACTGACCTAGGTGCTTAATTTCAGAACGAAGCATTTTAAAAATAGCCATAGAGATTTTTGGAGTCATTTCGTTTTTAGAAACTATTTGGACTCCAAATGCTACTCCGAAATATGGCTTTAATTTGATTGTTTAAAGGCAATCATCCGATTGCAGTAATCAAAAAGGCATGCAAGGAACAACCTCCAATATTTTTAGTCAAGAACATACCTGCAAAAAACCGTGTGCTTGTGAAGTTGACTGCTGATTGTGTTGGCCTCTCTGAGCATCATAGAGAGTTTCAAAGAATCCCAGTTTGGCTCTGCAAAATGTTTTTTTTGAAAAGGTTTAGCAATTAAAGCGGAAATTTCTTATTTATAAGAGTACCAGTATATAATTTTTTTAAGTTCTTTAATTTTTTCCAGGTTTTATGTCTCTCTGTATATAAATAAACGCAAAAATCCAAATATGTTCCTATATTTATAGGCACTCGATTTTCCTTCCATGCACAGGGACAATTTTGTTATTTCTTCTTTTAAATTTGTCCTGCTATAGCAGATACAATTTGGGGAGATTCTGGACATCACGTTTTCGGGGAGTCCTGCTACCTTAGTTTCTTAGAGACTATTAGGAACCCTAGTATATCAATTGTATTACTATAAAGATAAAGGTTCCCCTTGCACATATGTGCTAGTTGTTCCCGACTCTAGGAGGCAGTGCTCATCTCCGTTTCTAAGCCGAAGAGCCAGCACTGTCCGAAGACATCTCCGTGGTCATGTGGCCGCCATGACTCAACACCAAAGGCACATGGAGCGCTGTTATCTTCCCACCAGAATGGTCTCTATTTTTCTACTTGCATTTTTTACATGCTTTTGAACTGCTAGGTTAGCAGAAGCTGGGACAAGTAATGGGAGCTCACTCCATTAGGCAGTGCTAGGGATTCAAACTGCCGAACTGCTGACCTTCTGATCAACAAGCTCAGTGTCTTAGCCACTGAGCCACCGTATCCCTTGTATTATTATAGGTTTGCAATTAAAACAGAATCCTATTATAAGCTTTAGCCTTTTTTCTTAGCATTTTGTACTAGTCTAGAATGTTTCACAGCCAGGTCTGTTAAAGGCCTTTTTTTTTTTTTTTACTAACGACTGATATTGTTCGGAATGACGAATCATCATTAACGTTGGCATTATTATTATTATTATTATTAATTTGTCTTGTATGCCGCCCACTCCCGGAGGACTCCGGGCGGCTCATAATAGACAAGGGAGAGGGGAAAACTAGACAAAGACAACATATTTAAAAACAAAAGCCAACATTCACAATTTCCGTGGAGCTGGATGTTTCACAGGACCGCCGGCCTGCTCGAGCAGCCAGGATGTGGTGGCTTTGCGGAAGGCCGGGAGGGTAGTAAGGGTCC